TCCAGCACACTAGTGTGTCGTATTTCTATCAAATATCATACATGTGTTTTTCTTGATCAGTGTGACTTTCTTAGTGTGAGAACTATGATCTTCTTTAATGTCTGTTGTTCTTACAGTCAGAGAGAAATCACTTGCTATAGTTGGATATGTGAAACAACTCAGGAAATAATGTAATCGTGAAGGCTTTAAGGGCTCGTTGTCATGTAATTATCCTACATTGCCATTGTGATGGATTTTTTTTTAAAGTATTGGAAACTTTTCAAGTAAAGATTTAATTCAAGTCATTCTGGCTAGCATGAAGAGCCCCTTTTCTGATTCTACTGATATATTACCTTATTGTGTTGCAAGTTCTGTAAAACACTTACTAAAACGATTCTGCCTTAACGAGGAAGGAAGTGGACTGAGAGTAGCTATCTAGTCACTGGTCTGGTTTTCCTCATGGAAGAAGAATTGCATGTATTTTACTTCTCTTGTGTTGAGATGATAATTTTTTATATAAATAAATGTTTGTAATTTTTAAAAACCATTAATAAAAACATTTAATTACAATCGGACAAATTAGTGTGAGTGCATCAGTTTGTGACATTTACATGACCTAAATTGTGTTGACAACACGGTAAAACATATGATACTTCCTTCAATCAATCAGTCAGTCAATCAATCAATCAATCAATCAGTCAATCAATCAAATGATCAGGGAGTCTAAAAGTTCACTTTTATGTTGATGCATTCTGTTACATAAGTATGTGTAGTTGAAATGCTTTAACCTCTCTCTGGATTCTTTTGCTTTATCATAACACGCATTAAGTGTGCTCATGCCCTGCCAGATATTTATTTTAGCTAATTTTGTGAACCTTTGCTAATAATGAACTTTTGGTATAGTCGCTGATTACTTTGCTTAGCTTCTGCCCTTCATTGCCTGAGAGCCGTGTGTGTTGAGAAACTGTCAGCTTGAGGGGTGTGGAGGGGTGTCACTACAGGGGTGTCTGGGGGTGTCACTGTTCCCTGACTCTCACATAGGCTGGGTTACTTGTCTTCTAAAAGTATGAGGTAGTTGGGGGGTTTTTTGGTGTGTGTTTTTTTTTTTCTACATGATCCAAACAGTGCTGGGTAATATTACTGATATGGTAGTAGTTCACTCCCAGTGGATTGAGTGTACAAGTGGGAGGGCTTGTTTGTAGTGGGTTGTTTTGTTTTTTACCAGGGGAGCTTCTATTCTGATACACGTTAAGTTTACTGGGCTACTACTTTTCGAAAATGTGTTCATTGTCGGGGAGGGGGGGG